CGATGGTGGGTGTATGGGAAAGAAAATTCGACGAAACTTCGTCCCGATAAAGCGAGGGGTGGGGGGTGGGGAGGGGGATTACGCATGTGGGGGGTACTGCGATCAATCCGAAGGCGGGGTTATCAGGAGGAAATTTTCGAGAAACTTCGTCCCGATAACATCGCATGCAGGGTCCACATGCCGCGTACTCTGTATTGACAGGCTCCGTGAAAACACTACACTGAGAGTGTACACAAAAATTCAGGGTCCGCTAAAGCAATACTCTGAATGGATCAGGGACCAAAATGTGAAAAACCTGATTTCTCAGGGACCAGAAAGTGACAAGTCTGAAATCACCCTGAAATCAGGGTAATTACCCTGATAAAATCAGCCCTGGTCAAAGGTCTCATCTGTAGCGTCCAGCTCAGCAATATCCCACAGCCTCAATCCGGGATAATCTGCAACCGGTTTATTGAAATCAACGGTCGTGATTGACCCAGCTTTATACGCCAGGAGAATCCCCTCAACCCAAGGATTTTGACTCCCTATCACCAGCACCGATTTCCCTTTCACGGGGTACGTATCAAACGCCTCTTAGAAAGTTAAGGTTGTATTTTCGCCGTAACTAGAGTATCGCCTCTCCACCCGTCGACGTTTTTGGGCCACAAATTCGTTCGGCCAGACGAACGGCTTCGCTCCAGAGTCCACCATATCCGTCCCGCGGAAAAATTCAATGACCCGAATCGAGCCGTTGACTGTGAAGGCATTGGGACGGACGGTCGGATATACGTCCAGGGGATGAGTCCCTGGAGGCCGTAGTCTTGAATGTGGAATCTCGAGAATTTCTTAAAATCTTGCTGGTTACTGGCAGTGATGGTGTAGTCGTTCCACGAAGCCGTGTCTGCAGGTGCATGCGCAATATGAGTTGCACAAACTGATAAGGTGATATACGCGGTATGAGAATGATACTCGTAGAAGGGAATGAGACGATAACTTCTTAAGTTTTCAATGGAACTTACAACCTCAAAAGGAATATTTGATGGTAGTTATTCCATCTGCGAGAGAGAGAGAAAGAGAGAGAAAAGAAGAAGAAAAACGAAAGAAGTGCGACGCGGGAGTCGGGGCTTACAGTATTGGTTAGCGATTATAAAGGTGCCGATCTGGACTGCTGACACAATTGCCGTGTGCTGCCAGTTCACCACTTTCGCTATACGCCTTGTTACGATATGAAATTGCATGAGTAGGCATTCCTGTATGCTGCAGGAGCCGACTCTACCGAGTATGAAGTCGAGGAGTCAGAAGAGTCGAAGCGACGCAGCAACCGTCTGACCAAGACCGATGCAGGCAGAAACATTTGAAGTGAAAAGAGCGGGAACAGGTTTGAAACTGGTTCCCGCGCCGCACGGTTTGAATTTGGTTAGAATAAGGGAATGTACCCCTTAGAGTACATGGCTAGCCTAGGTCTTTTCGTATTCCCCTGTACTCTTATATAAACCCGATGAATGCATGCTTTTATCAACTCAGTCATTTACATTCACTCTGACCTGAGATTCAAACTTCCGCTGCAACACTACTCTGCGATCAACCCTGAGCGATCCTTCGCTAAGTCCCACTTGGGATTGTAACATGGTATGAGAGCTACTCAGGGATTCTTCGCATCATCACTTCCTTCCAAGATCTGGTGAGCGGCACACGCTCCAAGACCAAGATGGCCGGAGGATCCGGAGGCCAAGCCAATCTGACGGCTGAAGGACAAACCAAGCCGGCTGCGACAAATGAGGCGACAACTACGATCGGCACTGCCGCACTCGAGCAGTTATTTGCTCGACTTTCAACTATGGAGAAAGAACTCTAAGATCTGCGCAAGGGCGATGCGGGAACCTCTTCCCAACCAGTACAACCTGGACAACCGGCTGAGAAAAGCCGTGATACCGCCGCGCACACCTTCTCCCTCGACACAGACAAATCAACAACAACTGCCCCCCGTCCAAGTGATGAAGCTATCAACTCTGCGCAAACGCGTTTTCTTAGCGTCTCAAAAATCAAAACTACTGCCGCGTTTGACGGCAAGGATTTCCTAATATGGAGTTTTGAGCTTGAGCTCCTCCTACAAACGGCGCAGATTTACCATTACTTCGACGGATCCTACCCTAAACCGGTGGAAAACACAGCGAGTCCCTCATGGCCTACAGTGTGCAGCTACGCAACATGACGCCTGCGGAACAACTCAACATTCGCTCCTACAAAGAGAGCGACGCTCCAGCCTTGGAAGCTTGGAAGCACCTCGTTGAAGTTTACCAGCCGAAGGATTCGGTCACCGCCAGCAGGCTTCTGCAGCAACTTTTGGAGATAAAGATGGGGCACGGGGAGAAAGCGAATCCGTATATTAACCGCTGTCGCAACATCCGTGACCAGATCACGAAGCATGGGAGTACAATCTCGGAAGAGATTTTCGTCAACATAGTCCTTCAAGGACTCGGGCCAGAGTGGAAGCCCTATAAAGCGCTACTCCGACAGCAAGGGACCATCTCAGAAGCCGCGCTATGCGCCGCACTCCTGTCCGAACAGCAGGACATGGATTCGAGCAGAACAAGCTCCGCGCCGCGCCGAGAGAGCCTCGCCTTCTACGCTGACAACCGTGAAGAGCGACGACAACCAAGGCGCCATTATTGCAAAATATGCAAAGTCTTCGGACACTCAACGGATCGATGCAAGTCCCGATCCAACTATCGCCACCCAAATTCCACTCACCACAACAACTGGGTCGGCCGACAAGATGCTCGTCATCCTCAGTCTCAGCATCAGACACCTCATCCTCCTGCGCAACATCAACATCAGCAAGGACCTCAAGGACCTCAATCAGGAGCTTCTAGAAACATCATCGCAAATATGACGACGCGCCGACGTCGCACTGCTGAACCTGACGAGGAAAATGAGATTCAAGGGAGACTCCTTGAACCAGAAGAGGGTTGGAATAACCCCCTCACTGAAAAATACTATTACCAGTATGACGAGGACGAGCAGGATTGGAACCTGCCAATCACCCTGCGGGAAAGCCCGCCGCATGACAATCAACACTACGTACCGGTGGGATGGAAGGAGGACGAAGATCCTTTCTTCCACATGCGCTACAAGGCGACCCTGGTGACTCCGCGACTGGCGCCACTGCAACGCAGAAACAACAACGACAACCACAACACCTGGTACCTGGACAGCTGCTGCGGACAGCACATGGTGGGATCTACGCGATACGTCTCGAACCTGAGCCGCGCCCCCCCCAACTTACGTCACCGTTGCCAACAACGAGCAACTGCGCGCCAATGCGCAAGGCATCGTGGTCCTGCAAGCAAGAGACAAAAACACGCACATTTCGTTTAACGACGTACTCTACGTCCCACATCTTCGTTTCAATCTTCTCTCGGCAGGACAACTTCGCGACTGCGGCGTCATTCTCACCACGGACCTCGACACACGCGATCTCATTCTCACATACGCTCCCCCAGATACCCCTCCCGAGTCGTTCAAATATCTCGGACGAGCCCGCTCGATCAACGGAATCTATGTCCTCGACTTCGACGTACCTTCCTGTCAAGCATCATCCGATGAGCTCGTGGACCTCGTTCCTCTCGAGTTCGCCTACACGAGCAAAAGGGAGCACCCAGACGGACGACCATGGATTCGCCGCAGTCCCCATCTTCGCGAGGTCAATCTGCACGAGCCAGACATCAATGGACTCTGCACCACCTGCCACACACTCACGGCGAGCCGCACAGAGCAAGTCGAAAGGGAGTACGCAGCAATCCAGGAAGCGGAGAGTGCCGAGGCGGAAACAACAGGCATGACTGAAGAAGAACTCGCTGTGTCGTCTTACCGCATCTTCGGCGAAGCAAACGACGACCTCGGACTTCAGCGAGAGGAGCGGACAGCGCCATCCTCGGAAAACCTCCGGTTCGTCCTGCAAGCTAACACCACCACCCTCGACGAAGATGGACGACCGCGTCCTTACACCCGCGAAGTTTACCACCGCGAAATTGACCCGGCTTGGAAAGATCCTGACGCACCAGAGGAGCTCAGCGTCAAGGAAGAAGAAGACAAGGCCCGGGCGGAAAAGAAGCAGAAACTGTTTGAGGAACGTGTCGCGGCTGGATGGGACGAGGAATCAGCACGACGAGGAGCATGGGGAGATGAAGATTACGAACCGGAAGAAGGCGCAACCTGGGGATCCGCCACTGGAGCATGGGGAGCCAGCGCCAGCGGCACGGTCACCACGGGAGGATGGGGTGTCAAACATTGTATATGTTTCTATTCTGTAGGCTATAGTGGGTTTAGCCTTAGGGGGTACATCATTCTAGGTTTTCCTACTTGTACTGCTAGTTCACACATCCTTGTTCACTTCTAGATTCAAACATGGTATCCGACGCCTAGGTCAGGACCTAGGACCGACGTTGGTTAGGGCCCACCGTTCCGCCGCGCCCTTGCGCGACCCTGTCTGATAGTGCCTCGCGCCGTCGTGCGCCCCTACCCGTTCCTTCCTTCCTTCCTTCCTTCCTTCCTTCCTTCCTTCCTTCCTTCCTTCCTTCCTTCCTTCCTTCCTTCCTTCCTTCCTTTGTTTCTTTCTTTCTTTCTTTCTTTCTTTCTTTCTTTCTTTCTTTCTTTCTTTCTTTCTTTCTTTCTTTCTTTCTTTCTTTCTTTCTTTCTTTCTTTCTTTCTTTCTTCCTTTCTTTCTTTCTTTCTTTCTTTCTTTCTTTCTTTCTTTCTTTCTTTCTTTCTTTCTTTCTTTCTTTCTTTTCTTTTCTTTTCTCTTTTCCTTCTGCGTCTTCATTCCCGCTCTTATACTACGAGTTCTGGCAAAATTCCGTGTATAGAGTGGCTTATAAACACACTGTTTGTCACACACAGGCTTACCCCACTCACCCACCTTCCCCCTTCCTCCCCTTCCCCCACCCCCCGCTGCCCTCCCACTCATCCATTCCCCCTCCCCACACCGTCTTACCTCCCCTCCTTCCCTTCCTGCTGTCCAGTTGTTTGTTGCCACGTGTTCACCTGCCCGGGATGACTCAGCATCGTACCGAGCTTGGGGTCACTCCACCCTGGTTGGGCCGGTGAGTGCAAGGGGAAGGGGGCTTGAGTGAAGGGGAAAGCTTGGTTGCTGGGTGGTAGGGCGGGTGGTTGGGTGTTATAGCTTGACATGATGTGAGGGAGGGCATGGCATGGCATCGTACCGAGCTTGGGGTCACTCCACCCTGGTTGGGCCGGTGAGTGAAAGGGGAAGGGGACTCGAATGACGGGGAAGGCTTGGTTGCTGGGTGGTAGGGTGGGTGGTTGGGTGGGTGGTAGGGTGGGTGGTAGTAGGGTGCTATAGCTTAACATGGCATGAGGGAGGGCATGGCATGGCATGGCATGGCATGGCATCGTACCGAGCTTGGGGTCACTCCACCCTGGTTGGGCTGGTGAGTGCAAGGGCAAGGGGACTCGAATGAAGGGGAAGGTTTGGTTGCTGGGTGGTAGGGTGGGTGGTTGGGTGTTATAGCTTGACACGATATGAGGGAGGGGCATGGCATGGCATGGCGTTGTACCGTGCGTGGGGTCACTCCACCCTGGTTGGGCCGGTGAGAGCAAGGGCAAGGGGACTTGAATGAAGGGGAAGGTTTGGTTGCTGGGTGGTAGGGCGGGTGGTTGGGTGCTATAGCTTGACATGGCATGAGGGAGGGGCATGGCATGGCATGGCAGGGCATGGCATGGCATGGCATGGCATGGCATGGCATGGCATGGCAAGGCATGGCATCTGGGGGTCACTCCACTCCACTCCACCCTGGTTGGGCCAGTGAGAGCAAGGGGAAGGGGAAGGGGAGCGAGGGGAAGATAGGTCTCGGTTGCTGGGTGGGTGGGTGGGTGGGTGGGTGGGGCAGGGCAGGGGATGGTAGCGTATGCATGTGGCTTCATGTTTTAGTGCATGTGTGCAGGCTCAACCCTTCACTGCTTGGGAAATGTGTCGTGTGCCATTGTAACGAGGTGACTTTTGAGTCGACTCAAAAGTCACCTCGTGGGGCAGGGCAAGGGATGGTAGCGTATGCATGTGGCTTCATGTTTTAGTGCATGTGTGCAGGCTCGACTTTTGAGACGTCTCAAAAGGCGTATGCATGTGGCGTCATGTTTTAGTGCATGTGTGCAGGCTCGACCCTTTACTGCTTGGGATATGTAGTGACTCGTACCCACCCCACCCCTCTCATATTCATGTGCTTTCACCCACCCCTCTCTGCCCCTTGCCCCCTTGCCATCCCATTATCACCCACCCGTATGCATGTGGCTTCATATTTTAGTGCATGTCTGCAGGCTCAACCCTTCACTGGTCTGGAAATGAAGTGACTCGTACCACATTCGTGTGCTTCTATCGCCTCTGCCCTATGCCTTGTCATGCAGCAGTAACCCACCCCACCCCACCCCACCCCACCCCTCTCATATTCATGTGCTTTCACCCACCCCTCTCTGCCTCTTGCCCCCCGTGCCATCCCATTATCACCCACCCCTCTCCGCCCAACGACCGAGCATGGCTTCAGTTTGGGGAGATAGTGGCAACAACAGTGCATGAGGAGGCGGTGGGGGGGGAGAGAGGGTGGAACTTTGCCAATTTCGTGTGCTTGTCTCGCCCCAGTAACCCCTCTCTGCCCTCTGCCTGCCATGCTTGCCATCAGTTTGGGGAGATAGTGGCAACAACGGAGCATGAGGAGGCACTGGTGGTGGGAGAGGTGGACCTTACCGAGTTCGTGTGCTTGTCTCACCCACCCCTCTCTTCATGTGGTGGGAGCATGAGGCGGCGGTGGTGGTGGGAGAGGTGGATCTGACCTGACTCAGATTGACACACTCACCTCGCCCACCCTTTTCTGCCCTGTAACCGTGCTTGACGTCAGTTTGGGGAGATAGTGGCAACAACCGAGCATGAGGCGGCGCTGGTGGTGGGTGAGGCGAGGTGGAACCATGCCAAGTTTGTGTGCTTGTCTCGCCCACCCGTGTCTTCATGTGGTGGGCCAGGCGAGGTGGAACCATGCCAAGTTGGTGTGCTTGTCTCGCCCCCGTAGCTAGCTAACCCCTCTCTGCCCTCTGCCCCCCATGCCATCTCACCCACCCCTCTCTGTGCTATGACTGGGCGTACCATCTGACCGCCAGTTTGGGGAGATAGTGGCAACAACAGAGCATGAGGAAGCGCTGGTGGTGGGAGAGGCGAGGTGGAGCGTACCGAGTTCGTGTGCTTCTCCTGCCTTGCTAACCCCTCTCTGCCCTCTGCCTGCCATGCTTGCCATCAGTTTGGGGAGATAGTGGCAACAACGGAGCATGAGGAAGCGCTGGTGGTGGGGGAGGCGAGGTGGAACCATGCCAAGTTCGTGTGCTTGTATCACCCACCCCTCTGACCACCTGACCGCCAGTTTGGGGAGTTAGTGGCAACAACCGAGCATGAGGAGGTGGTGGTGGTGGGTGAGGTGGACCTGACCTGACTCCAATTGACACACTCACCTCACCCACCCTTTTCTGCCCTGTAACCGTGCTTGCCGCCAGTTTGGGGAGATAGTGGCAACAACGGAGCATGAGGAAGCGCTGGTGGTGGGAGAGGTGGACCTGACCGACTTCTTGTGCTTGTCTTGCCTTGCTAATCCCTCTCTGCCCTCTGCCCCCCATGCCATCTCACCCACCCCTCTGACCATCTGACTACCAGTTTGGGGAGATAGTGGCAACAACGGAGCATGAGGAGGCGCTGGTGGTGGGAGAGGTGGACCTATCTCAGATTGACACGCGCAGGTGCGTGAGTGTTCTTGATGGCATGCCATAGTGTGGTGCGATTGGCATGGGTGGCATGGAATGGAATGAGAGAGCATGAGGAAGCGGCGGTGGTGGTGGGTGAGGTTGACTTGACCTGTCTCAGATTGACACGCGCAGGTGCGTGGGGGGACAGAGGGGAGTGTTCGATGGCATGGCATGGCATGGCATGGTGCAAGTGGCATGGGTGGTGCAAGTGGCATGGGTGGTGCAAGTGGCATGGGTGGTATGACAGGAGGGAGCATGGGGAGGCGGTGGTGGTGGGGGAGGTAGACCTGGGGCAGATAGACACTCGCAGGTGGGCAGATAGACACTCACAGGTGGGCAGATAGACACTCACAGGTGGGCAGATAGACACTCACAGGTGGGCAGATAGACACTCGCAGGTGGGCAGATAGACACTCACAGGTGGGCAGATAGAAGGGTGTAATGCTATGGCATGGCATGGGTGGTACAACACAGAGAGAGCATGGGGAGGTGGTGGTGGTGGGAGAGGTGGAGCTGGGGCAGATTCACACTCGCAGGTGCGTGAACACAGGGGTGCTCTTCATACTATGGCATGACGTGGCATGGTATGGCATGGTGCAAGTGGTGTGGTATGGCATGGCGCGGTGAAATCGGCATGGGTGGTATAACATGGCATGGTGCAAGTGGCATGGAAGTGTATCCATGACATGAGCATGGCATGAGCATGGCATGAGCATGGCATGAGCATGGCATTGCAGAGAATGGAATGGCATTGTATGTATATCCATATGCATCCATCTGCATGTGCTCGTTTATCCATATCCACGTGCATGTGTATTCATCTCCAAATGCATACATATCCATCCCCATGTGCATGTGTATCCATCCATGTGCATGTGACTCCATTTCCATGGCAGGCAAAACATGCCCATCAAGGTGCAGCGAAGAGCAGACCTCTACCAACTCATCGACAAGACTGCTGCCAATCAGTAGGCGTTTGAAGTGCCTAAAAAACAAAACATGCCCATCAAGGTGCAGCGACGAGCAGACCTCTACCAACTCATCCACAAGACTGCTGCCAATCAGTAGGCGTTTGAAGTGCCTAAAAAACAAAACATGCCCATCAAGGTGCAGCGACGAGCAGACCTCTACCAACTCATCCACAAGACTGCTGCCAATCAGTAGGCGTTTGAAGTGCCTAAAAAACAAAACATGCCCATCAAGGTGCAGCGACGAGCAGACCTCTACCAACTCATCCACAAGACTGCTGCCAATCAGTAGGCGTTTGAAGTGCCTAAAAAGCAAAACATGCCCATCAAGGTGCAGCAAAGAGCAGACCTCTACCAGCTCATGGACAAGACTGCTGCCGATCAATAGGCGTTTGAAGTGCCTAAAAAACAAAACATGCCCATCAAGGTGCAGCGACGAGCAGACCTCTACCAACTCATCCACAAGACTGCTGCCAATCAGTAGGCGTTTGAAGTGCCTAAAAAACAAAACATGCCCATCAAGGTGCAGCGACGAGCAGACCTCTACCAACTCATCCACAAGACTGCTGCCAATCAGTAGGCGTTTGAAGTGCCTAAAAAGCAAAACATGCCCATCAAGGTGCAGCGAAGAGCAGACCTCTACCAGCTCATGGACAAGACTGCTGCCGATCAATAGGCATTTGAAGTGCCTAAAAAACAAAACATGCCCATCAAGGTACAGCGACGAGCAGACCTCTACCAACTCATCGACAAGACTGCTGCCAATCAGTAGGCGTTTGAAGTGCCTAAAAAGCAAAACATGCCCATCAAGGTGCAGCGAAGAGCAGACCTCTACCAGCTCATGGACAAGACTGTTGCCGATCAATAGGCGTTTGAAGTGCCTAAAAAACAAAACATGCCCATCAAGGTGCAGCGACGAGCAGACGGTTCGGCTGAGAAAATAGCCCTTAGGATCTTTGCAGGGGTGAACTCTGGGTAGGACTGATGTAATAGCGGAAGCGTTTAATGAAGAGTTGTGAACCACCTTGCGCTAGTATGTGAGGGCAAAGTTGATTAATTAAAACAGAGAGATATAAGATTATATATAAGAGTACAAGGAATATGAAGGGTTACAGTTATAACTGTTTTACTGTTGCTGTTGCGGTTCGATACAGTGACGACTCGGGCAACTGCTCTGTAGCGAGTCAGTTGTGTGTCCTTGCTGTCGCGCTGTACTCTGTCAGGTCAAAGGTCGCTGACCTTTGGCTTTCGCTTAACCTCCAACAGTTGCTTTCAACCTCCGAGGGTTGACTCGCCGGTGCTTCGATATGCTTCGCTTCGTTTGTGCCTTAGTGTTT